AGAGCTAGATATATAGTGAATGGAGGAAAGATTATGAGACCAAGTCTAAAATAGTCCTTGGAAAGCTTTAATGTTTCTCAGGGAGGTAGACCCATCCTTTATATCCTACACAGTCAAAACTTTCAATTTACAAATGCCAAGGCCCTTTACTGTAAGTGATTTCAGTTGATTGTCACTAGGTCCCTGTGAAATGCTGAGGGCAGATATTATTTATTTGCATTGTACAGAGAATAATAACAACAATATCTAAAAGTTATCGAGTGCACACTATATATCTGACACTTATGCTAAATCTCTTACAAACGTCATATTCTTGTATAATGTCATTAATTTCTCCACTTTACAAATAATGAAATGGTCTTAGTTGAAGTAATTCATTTAAGGTCAAACAGTAGAAGATGAAGCTGCAAATTGAATTTGGCTATCTGTCTCCGAATTCCTAACTTTGAGCCTCTGCTCAGATGAACAAAATCAAACTTGGATCTTAAGTAATACATTTAAGGTTCTATAACTAATAATAATTGACATTAACAGACCTAGGTCTTAGAATTTCTCATCTTCATCTCATTGGAACTCTTCAGTGGAGATCTTTAGCTCTCTCATAGAGAATTCACTAAACTAGAGAAAGGGGCTGAAGTATAAATATTTTGACAATGAGAAAAATAGACCTCAAAAGATAATTTACTATAGTTAATGATATCATATTGTATCAATGATATTTGAAAGTCACTAAGTGAGTAGCTCTCAAAAGTTCTCATCACGAGAAAAAAATCTGTAACTATACATGGTGATAGATGTTAACTAGACTTATTGTGGTCATTTCATTATATATACAAATGTCAAATCATTGTTACACACCTGAAACTAATGTAATATGTCAACCATATCTTAAGATAGTTTAAGTAAATTATATCCATACATAATATTTTGTAGCCAGTCAAAAATTTAATAAGGATTTAAAAAACATATTAATCATTTTTCCATTCAAAGTAGAAAAGTAGCCTATAAAATATTATTAATGCTTTCAAGTCTGTATGAATACTCCCCCTTATTCATGAGGGATAGCTCCAAGACCCCTAGTGGATGCCTGAAACCACAGTTGGTACCGAACTCCCTATAAAGTCATGTTTTTTTTCCTATATATACATACCTATGATAAAATTAAATTTATAAATTAAGCACAAGAGATTAACAACAATAATTAATAATAAGATAGAACAATTATAATATACTGTAATGAAAGTTAGATGAATGTGGTCTCATCTTTCGAAATCTTACTGTACTTACCTTTCTTCTTGTGATGATGTTCTTCTTGTGATGATAAAATGTCTGTGTGATGATCTTTGCAGTTTGAGGTGTGACAGCAAAACTGGCACGAATTTCTTTCTCCTTCACAATTTCAAGGGTAGAAGATTCTTTCTTACTGTAGATCTTACTAACTTCAGTAGACAATTTTTTTCTTAAGTCAAGAACTTTCACCTTTTCACTTAAAGGAAGCACTTTATGGCTTCTCTTTGGCATATCTGAATTGCCTGTATCTGCATCACTACTCTTGTGCTTTGGAGCCATTATTAAGTAAAATCCAGGTTACTTGAACACAAGCAGTGTGATAACCAACATAGCTACTGTGTCACTATCAGGCCAGGAAAGAATACAGTGTGGATACACTGGACAAAGGGAAAATCTACATCGTGGGCAGGACAAATCTGAACAATGAGAGATTTCATTACTCTATTCATAATGGTGTGCACTTTAAAACTTGCAAATTGGTTATTTCCGGAATTTTCCATTTAATTTTTTTGGATGGCAGTTGATCCTGGGAAAGTGAAACTGCAGAAAGAGAAACTGCAGATACGAGGGGACTACCGTACATGTATTTACACACATCCATACAGAACTGAATGTATGCATGTGTTTATGGGTGTATATATGATTGTATCTTTTTAAAATAGAAAATTTAGAATGAAATGCACCAATGTATTAGCAGTAATATTTTGAAGTGATGGAATTATGAGTAATATTTACTTTTTCTTCTATAATTTTTCTTCTATAATTTCCCCCCAAAGATCAATACACATTCTTCTCTCTCCCCATGACAGGTTTATTTTTTAAATTATTGAGAGTTTTATTGAGATGTAATTTGCATACCACAAAATTCACTCATTTTAAAGATACCATTTGGCGATCGTTGTTAAATTTACAAAGTTGCGCATCATATCACCATAATCCAATTGGGGCACATTTCTATCACTCCAAAAATATTCTTTGGGCTCATTTGCAGTCACTCCTCATTCTCATCCTTCCAGAACTAGGCAATCCCTAATCTACTTTCTGCCTCTATAAACTTTTCTTTTCTGAACATTTTATGTAAATGGAATCATAAAATATGTAATCTTTTTGATCCAGCTTGATTTATGTTCTTTTAAAGAAAGGAAAAGAATATTCTTTGGTTCTTTGCCTTTCCCTTCAAAACTAAGCAAAAATCTCTTATTTTCGTCCTCTTTATCATAGGATAACCATTAACAACTTCTACTTTACTTGTGTAGTTCCTAATCAATAATCAAATCATTTTCAGACCATGAGAATAATCTGTAGAATAGTAAGGCTATTCCTGACATTTCAAGCATCCCTTCTATCCTTATTCCTCTCAAGTTTCCCTATTTCTACATAAAAAATTATAATCATTTTGTTCTTATGCGGGCAGATATTTTTGACATGCCTTCTAATTTTATTCTATTGACCAAACCAGTGGCACCATCACTGATGTGTGAGGGTTTTGGACTCAGACCTGAATCTGGTTTAGCCCCTGTTCCCCCTAACCCCCGCCGCCCCACCTTCCACTGGCTCTAGTTGCTAAAGTGTCCTGAGCAAGGTATCAACATTTCCTGATGCTCAGTGTCCTAGTGAATATATTGGAGTTACTGGTACCTACTTCCAGAGCTGGATGAGGATATGTGTGGACTCTGGGTAAGCTAATGATCATTGGGGCTCTTTCAAAAGAATATTCTTTGAATAAAATTTCAACTTCTATTTAGAGGAAAGGCAGGGTACCACACAGCAATACAAAGACCTTGCAGTTCATTAGACCTACATTTCTTAAAATGCATGTTAGACAACTTGAGGTCTCACTCCTACTCTAAGCAGCTCATCAGAGTCTTCCTTCCAACCCAATCAACTGACAGTACTGATAAACATAATTGTCTGTGTTTTATCACATTTTCAGAGACATTTGTCCCTTCTTGTGGAGTATTGTCCTGGACATCTGTCCTGGCTCTGGTTCACAAACTATTCTGAAGATTAAATGAAGTAACATATGTAGAGAACTCTGCACAGTATCTGAAACTCAGCAGATGTTCAATAAATGATGACTATTAGTATCATGGCCGAAAACTATGGCAACTCTAAGCCTCTGGTAATGATAGATCATATGCAGTCCTTTTTCCTTTTAGCTTCTTACCTATAAGAATTCTGAGTAAAGGCATTTTGAGAAAGCATTTGGTGACCTTGAAACATCTCAAAAGCTCTTTGATGCCTTTATAAATTAATTTTAATAAATATGAGCCCCGTTTACTCGTTCATACCTCTATTATAAAAAAGAAACAGAATAAATGCCTTTGGCAATCTTTATATAGTATAACATTTTAATTGTTATTTATCTTAAACATGATGGAAATTAACCTGCTGAAGGTCAACTGGGGGACGAGCACTGAGCAGGGAAGTGTTTGTTGCTGAGGGAACGATGGCTGGTCTGAAACCAGATCCAGGCTATGGAGCAGAAGGAAAATGGCAAATTCTTTGGAGGAGCATGCCAGAACACACATGCTGTTTCATTTTCTCAAGTTTCTTTGAACCTCCTGTAAGCAGGGACACGAGGGGAGGGTAGGAGAGAGAAAAAGTGAGGAAAGCAATGCTATACCTCTTTTCCCATTGTCTATTCCCAAAAGCACACCATAAATATCAAAACAGTCCTTGGTAGTAGTCCGAAAGATTTACTGTGTCCTCAAATTCCTAAAAAACAATCAGAGCATAATTTGATTTTTGGCAGAGTGTAACTGAACAACTTCTAGGCATAGCATTTGTTGTGCACACCTGGTAGAGACAGATAGTAGACAGACCATTCAACGATGTTGCCATGGAAAGAATGGCGGGTGGGACCAACCATCCAGGTTAACTCAAGTACCTTAAGATCTTGGCCCCTAATCCCTAAACCTCGGTTCTTCTTGTGGCTCCACTACTCCCCATTCTTTTGTGTTTCTTTTCATCGTGCAAGTAATGGAAGCCCAATCAGGGCCAAGGCTCAAAACCCAAGACCAGTTTGTCATCCCTTCAGTCACCACTGGTCACTATTCTGACACACTGGCCACCCCTTCCTGCTTCCAGCCATGCCTATGCAGCCCCTCCATTCCATCCTAGGCCTTCCTCACCCTTCGGGAGAAACTGTCCCCTGGATTCCACACGCAGAGACCACCGCAGGTGTTTCCATCCCATGCCGTAACAGCCCTCTTCTTCATCCCTTTTAAATGAGGAAACAGGAAAGGTGAGCAAGAAACCACCAGCAAGTTTTGACAGTTGCTGAGGAAGACTAATGGGTTTCTAAGGAAACAGAGGCAGCAGCCATTTTAGTGGCATTTGCTGTATGAAAAATATATAGACACTGACATCCCCCCACCCCCCTCCCACCCTTTGCATCTTCTTTCTCTCCATGCTTCAGAGCCCCTCCACCCCCGAGGTGAAGGGTGGGGTTCAGGTTTCCTTGAGACGCAGCAGTCACCTGTCGCAGGTGGCCGGCCACCGGCCACTCAGAGTCACCACCTAGCGTCCTCCCCGCAGCGGGCGGGACTGTGGGACTCCCCACCCCCGGGCGCCGCAGTGCAGCGGCGAGCGGGTGGCTGGCTTGGGCCCTCCCCGTCCCCACGCCCCGCCCCTCAGGTCCCCTCCCTCCACCCAACCTGCAGCAGGGCAGGCCACGAGAGGGCTGTCTGTCGCAGCCGGCTGGTCGCGAGGCGGGCCAGGGGAGGCGGTCCCAGAGGCAGAGTGGGCGCCGGAGGTCGCTGCAGCCGCGGACACCGCGCGCCGCTGGCCAACATGGTCGCTGCGCACGCTGCCCATTCTTCCTCCTCGGCAGAGTGGATCGCCTGTCTAGATAAAAGGTAGCTCGGGAAGGGCCCCAGCGGGGCCGGGACTCTGCAGCGTGGCGCCTGCCTAGAGACCGCGGGGGGTCGGCCACCCAGAGTCGCAGCCCCATACCTGGGCGCAGCCCACCCGGCTGCGGGAGAAAGGTCTCTGAGCGGGGGAGGGGGCGGAGGGGCCTTATCTGGGATGTATGGGGACACAGCCCCCTGCTTCTGGTGGGGCGCCACCTGCATAAGGTTTTTATGTGAGGTGGAGAAAATGCAGTGCAGTGCGGGGGTGGGGGGAGAGCACCAGCCTCTCCAGTCTCCCGCCCCTCCTGCCCCTTCTCTCCCCTACCCCATCCCGCAACTCCAGGCTCTGCTCTCAGGTGGGGGGTTATCTTCTCTTGGCATCACCTGACAGAAGGATAGATTCATACCTTCGTCCAGCAGTTCAGACCACTAGGAGTAAATGTAATTTAAGTTTTAAGCAGGGGTTGGAGGAGAAGCAGGTGCAGAGTAACATCCTTTTTTTTTTGTTCCTGAAAGCAAAGTGCGAGGGACCCAGTGGAGCTGTCTAGTGCCTTCTCAGCCCGTGCTCCCGCCGTCGCTTGCTCAAGGTCTGTGTTAGGAAGGTCATGAGGGAGACTGCTTTCCTCTTATTACTTGCTTAGGAAAAGACCCTTACTCTAAAAAAATTTGAAACGGTAAAAAGAGCATTGTAATTCCCGATGACAGCTCTATATAAGGAGGTGCTGTGTTTAACAGCGGACTGCGATTGTTTCCAGGCTCTGACAGCATAATTTTCTGTTTGTCCAGATTGTGGGTTTAGCAGTAATCATTACGCAGTATGTTAGCAATTATAGTTTATTACCCTGATTAAAAGGTGATGCATCTGAACTTTTAAGAACTGAGCAAGAAATCTTGCACAGTGAACTGCCTCTGCATTTCTGAGTTTGATGCAGCAGGGTAATGATTCATGTCTTGCAGCTATCTGCATGATATCTCAATTTGCATTTGTGTGAAATATTTTGTGCTCTGCCATATTGAGATTTTTACAATTAGCAGATCTGTAGCCAGATCAAACTTGAAAATCTTATGTGTGATAGGCTCTGTGTACTTTACTATTATAGGCATTTGTTGAAAAAAAGTAATTTGAGAAAAGCTAAATGTGGCTCATTTGAATAACTTAATATATCTGAAAATAATTTTTACTTTCAGTTACCACACAGCAGCAAGATTTTTTTTGGCAGACGGTACCCTATTTATGTCTAAAATGATATGTACTAATATTAGAAGAGTTACATGCAATAAATAGTAAGAATTGAAGCAATGGTTAAATCATACAGAATTATGTAGAGAAACTAATAGCATGTTTAAGGGAAGAGACTGCTAATGTGATTAGTAATCTAAATTTAATAGTTTAGGAAAGATGAATTATAAAAGAAGAGAAAATCAAGCCTCTTGTACTTAAACTATAAATAGTAGTACTTTCTTATGAGTGAATTTTAAAGATAATAGATTACATGTTTCTATTCGGAGAAATGCATGGCAGGCCATTTTTTGAACAGTCAGTAATTCACTGGAAACCCTTTAGTCAATAAGTACTTATGGCAAAATCATAGAGTAATGCTAACACAAGAGGTCATATTTGACTGTCTTTTCATAATGTGTATCTGCCCAAATTGTTATTATTATTTTTTGGAGTAGAGTTTTAGAACATAGTCATACCATCTAATACCACCATTTATAATGGGGAAAAAATCTACCAGGGGGAAAAAAACAACCCTCCACAAATACAGAGCCTTCCATTTTTAGAGTGCAGGGGAGTGGACAGTTAAGATTTTTTAGGTCCAGAGCTGTCACCAGTTCTGATCTTGGACATGTCACTTTTACTTCCCCAAGTGACTGAAAAAAACGAGAATGGAAATGTTTTACTAAGGATTAGTATATCAAATGGGAAAAAAATGGTGAGTTCTTTGAAAACTGTTAGGTGATATGTAGGTATTGGTGTTGAGAACCTTGCCATTTTCCGCAGCATCGATGCTGGAATTTCTTTGAAGAGATTAGGACTGGCAATCTCATTGTAAGAGGGCCTTGTTTTGAAGTTGCATTTTTACTAAGATTGTTAATTTTTCAGGGGAAGAGGAAGATTAAGGGTGCTGATGGATGTGGGCTAAAAAGTCCTGAAGTCATTCCTTAGTGGGACATAGCTCTCAACATTTCTGAGAAATGCAATCTTGATATCCTATTCTAGGTACTGTGTTGGGCATTGGGAATGCAAGAAAAAAAAATTAGAGTTTCTTTTTGATTTGGAGGTGGGACAGCTACATAAAACTAACCACAATGTAATAAGTGCTTTAATGGAGATATTTGAGGTGCTTTGGGAATGCAGAAGAGAGAATTGGCAACTCTGCAGGGATGCTTCCCACAGGTTCCTGCCTGGACCTTGGAGTTAAGGGGAATTTTATCAGACAGAGAATTGGGGGAGGGCATGCCAGGCACAGAGAGCAGCGTGCACAAAAACACACAGGAGTAGCATATAAATACATCTTTTCTTCCCAACCATAAATTCCTCTGTAACCAAATCAAGAGTATAGGAAAATATTCTTTATTTTTCTAAAATTTTTGATTATGGACATTTTCAGGCATAAACACAACAAAGAGGGAATGGTACATTGAGCCCCTATGTATTATTTGGGGATATGATGCTGGGACCTTTTTTACAGCTGGGAAACGTAGTCTTGATATATGCATTATGCAAGTATCAACTGTCGGGGACAGCTAGAAAAAGAGGGCTCAGGGGTTAGAAATAAAAAGGGGAGTGAAGGTACAATGTCTGCAGGAGTACAGAAGTATGCAATTAAAGTCAAAACAAACAAGACAAGGAAAATAAAGCCTTAGAAATGTTCGTTAGGCATGCCTAGAAAGATATCATAGACGGGACAACACTATATAAATTTACATGTGGGAGAGGGGGTTGAAAAATATGTAGATACGTGGATTAGGTTGAAGAAAGAAAATCCAAAGCTGCCTATGTATCAGGCATCCAAGTTCTTGAGCTATGGTGGAGTGGAGGAGATGAGAGTGTGCAAATACTAACCTTAAAATCAGAAAGCATTGAACAATTGGATGGATAAAAAGCTATTGAAAAAAGTCTCAGCGGACATATTGTTGAAGCAAAACAAACCTACTGCTCTCATAAAATCTTACAATATTTCCTGAGCAGGGATGGTAACTAGAAACATATTATGTAATAGCCACTATTTCAGATTTTGGATATGTAAAATATCTTTTTTTTTTTTTTTTTTTACTGTGTTGACCGTTGTTTAATTTTAGTGAAAATGTTTTTACCATAAGATTTTGTTTGCCACCTGTGAATTTAAGAACTCTTTATAAGTCATAATTTTTATGGTTGGTAAGGGAGTATTATGAAGGAACCACACATATTCACATATGTATAGTGAATCATCACTGGAATTAATGACTATGAATCAGGAGTCCACAAACTATGGCCTGTGGACCAGATCTGACAGTATGTCTCCTGAGCTAAGAATGCCGTGTACAGTTCTGAATGGTTGGAAATAAACTGAGAGACTATTAATACTTCACAACCCCTGAAATTTATATGAAATTCAAATTTCAATGTCCATAAGCAAAGTTTTATTGGAACACAGCCACACTCACTTTGGTTACTTATTGTCTATGGCTATTTTTACGCTACAGTGGCAGGGCTGAATAATTGCAACCAGCAGAGACTCTGTGGCCCACAGAATTTAAAGTATTTAAATTTAAAGTATTTAGGTGGATCTTGGAAGAAAAGTTTGCCATCCTCTTACAGATGAAAGAAGTTAAGCGATTGACAGAGAAACCACTGGAGAGAAAAGAAATTGTCTTTGGAAAAAGAGTTCATAATGTTTAGTTTCTTGTTCTTCAGTTAGAAGCATAGCTTGGAGGGAGGTCCCCAGTTGATTAGCTTATTTGAGGACCACTGGTGATCGCAGGCCAAAGCAGAAAATGACGTTAACACGGTTTGGATGTGTAAAAATGGTTGCCATCTTTCAAAACAGCTGAGAAATTGTTAAAAATTATTAATGTTTCACTTAAAAAGTGCCTCACACAGTGTTCTTGCATCTGACTTAATCCCCACATAAATGTCGAGTTAGCTATTTTGATGTGATTAGATGTGAGCAAAAGAAATCAAGGAACAAATCTGTTAAAAACCAAAATACTTTGTAGTAGACATGGTGAGAGAGGATGACTCAAATATCAAAGAAGCATCAGACACGGGTCCACCCTTGAGGAATAGAGAAGATCAAAGAAGCATGCAGAGCGGGAGGAAGGCTGGGGAAGGCTGGTGTCTACCCAGGCAGGTCCCATGACGTTATGCTAGCAAATTCTCAGGATTCAGGGCTGGTCTTGCACTCCCTGAATCCTGACTTGTGAGCACATTGTTCAGGTACAGATACACAGGCATTAAACTCTCAAAGACTGTAAAAACCAGAAAGATAGTTCATGAATTTGAAAATGATATTAGAGAAGTGGACACTCACATTCTTTGGCTACTGTATTCCTTCTCTAGGGAAGCTATACGGGAAACCCAATTATTACAAGAAGTTCATGTTGTGCATTTACAATGAGAAGCAAAGCTGCCAGGAGATCAGAACACTTACAACTTCTGGCCAGCTTTTTCTCTTCCTAGAATGACAGAGCCCAGGAATTGAATGATAATCAGAAGTTAGTTCTGAGAATCCTTCAGGACAGCTTGGCTTTCATCTTTTCCAATTAGATGACCATTACATGTATTCCCATAGCACACTCTGCCCAACACTGCAAAAACACAAGTCAGACTGCACTGCAATTGCTGATGTACTTTTTGCATCACTTGATGTCAGTCTTTATATTTTATTCATCATTTTATTTCCAGCTTCAATGCAGTGCCCTGATTGTAGAAGGTACTTATGGGATCAGGGCGAGATGGTCATCCTTAAGGATGGAGTGGCATCTGTAACCTTGTAGGCAAATCCTTTCACTTGTCCTTTTGTCTTGGAAAAGGCCTGAATGGGCACCATCAACATCTGCCTCTGCTGTCGTTCTGTGTTTCCTTGGCTGTGGTGAATATTTTTTTAAAATGACATTGCGTAGCTCTGTTCTATTATTAAAAATACTTATTTTACAGAAAATTTCAAAATGTATAAAAAGAAGAGAGAACAGTATGATAATTCTGTTGTACTTCTCCCCACTCCCTCCAACAATTATCAACTCACAGCCAGTCTTGTTTTATTTATACTCCATTCACCCCCTGCTACTCCCAGGATTATTTTGACACAAATCACAGACATAGTATTATTTCATCTGTAAATATTTCATTACATATCTCTAAAAGATAAAGATTCTTTATAAAGATAACAATAGCACTTTCACACATTAAAAATTTGACGTTAGTTTCCTAATATAACCAAATATCCAATCAGTGTTCGAATTTCTCCATTTAGCTCATAACTTTCTTTTTTGCAGTTCGGATTAGGATCCAAATAAGATACATCTTCGTCTTTTTTAATCTCTGCATTTTCCTTCTCTCTCATTTTCTTCCCTGTAACAAGTTTGTTGAAGAAACAGGCATTTTTTACATAGCCTGAATTTAATGATACCCCATGGTGTCTTTTAGTATGTCCCTTTGTTTTCCATATTTCCTATAAATTGTTATTTGGATTTAGGGCTTGATCAGATTTAGATATGACTTTTTGTAACAATATTTCACAGAAGTGTTATATATTTCCATCATGAGGCACGTGATGTCAAGTGATCTCTTTTTGTGATAGTAGCAATATTTTTAAAGTTTAATGCTAGGCAACTATCTTATCTGCAGCTTCTTGGGGGACATCTCATTGCAGCACAGAACACACGGGAGCACATAGCATATAAATGTACAGCAATTAGAAGACAACCCTGTAATCAGGGTTAAATTCTGTGGTGCTGACTCTACCTGCCCTAGGATTTTAGGAAAGTTTCAGCCAGAGCCCGACTCCCTCAGATGGGAGGCCTGTGGGGGATGGTGTGCCCATGGTGTAAATGGGCCTGCGAGAAGGATGCCTGGCCTACCACACCCTTGCCCCTGCAGCCTGGTCTCCTGAACACAGCCTCGGAACCTGAAAGAGTCTTCAGAGGAAGGGTAGTGCTCTGCAAAGCAGATTCTGCCTCCTTGTTTTAATTTGGATTCCCCTAAATGGACCTCTAGCTCCTCCCATGAGGGTGAGACTGGCAGATCCCTTTCAGTTCCAATCTTCTATGAATTTATAAGATTTCATAGCCCTTCCATAGTAGCTGCTTATTCTCCTGGACCACTGTCTCAAACCCAGGTAAGCTAGTTTTTCCTTTGTCAGATTTAAATCCATCTTCATGTATCTTGGACAGTGGCAGTGAAGAGTCAGCTTTCCAGATAAGAGAGAGGGAGAGAGAGAGGGAAGACTACCTTGGGTGTACTGAGAGGCTGAAGAAAAAGAGGACAGAAATAACTGGGTGGAGAGGATGACAGAGAAAGACCCAGCCAAACGTATGAAAGCAAACAATCTGACTGGTTGGAGTGGAGGCACCTGGGTACAGTGTATACTCAGCTGTATCCATGTGCATCCACGTGCTTCCCCTGCAGAAAAAGGAAAACAAAGTGCTGTTACTGCCTTCTTTTCTCTTCACACATGCTCTTTCTCGGAGCTCTCATCCATTTCCTGTGTTTAATTATACAGATTACTTAAACTCTGTATCCTTGGTTTATCTTCCAAACCAGATGCATTTTTGTCTCTCTGTCGGATATTCCCACATCAATGTCACATTAATATTTTGGGGCAGACATTGTTTTCCTTCACCTACTTCTCTTATAGGGAGGCTGGGAAAACAAAATACTTATCCTCCTAGTCTCTCTTGGGACTAGGTGTCCATGTGGCACAATCCTGGCCGATGAGGTGTAGCAGAAGTCTACTAGAGGCTTCCAAAAAAGTTGTTTCTTTACTGATAAAAGATACATGTATTTGATATCTGCTTCTTCTCTTCTTTTTGCCTGCAATTACTACTTGAAGCTTGGCTTATGGAAACCGTATTGTAATCCCAGAAGGAAGGGCCGGGAGAAACAGACTCAAATTTTGACTTCGTTCAGCTGCTGAATTTAGATCAATAGTTGCTTACCTTCAGATTTTTTGTTTTGTCATGAAAAAACAGACCTTACTTCTGGAAACCACTCTTTGTTAGGGTTTCTATCTGTTGTCAAAACTGTTTCTAACTTAACAAGTTGATATTCAATTTGTCTAAAACTGACTTTATCTTTCTTCTCTCCATTGGGTTCTTCTCCTTCCTTTCTTATATTATTAATGACACTTCTAGTCTCATACTCAAAACTTTGATATTACCTGTGTCTTCTCTGTCTATCTCCCTTTTGATACCTAACCAAGTCACCGTTCTTCTCTTGGCCTTTATAGTTTACTTCTTCATTTCAGGGCCTTATCATCTGGATCCGAATTTTCTCATTGTTTCCTGCTTCCAATCTGTAAGACAATGTTTTCAAATTGGCTTTGTTTTAGGGTTAGCCAGAACTGGGTCCAAACTCTGTCACCTATACCTCTTCACCATGCGATCTTGGCAAAGTTATTAAATTTTCTGAATCTCTATTTCCAAATTGTCATATTAGGCTCCAAAGACCTACTTTAATAGCTGTGTTTGTGGGCAAATGCAAATATATGGTCTTTGCTAAGTGGAGAGCATAGCGTAGGGGTTAAGAGTTTGGGAGCAAGACCATATTGGTTCAAATTTCAGTTTTGATTTTTATTAATGGCGTAACTTTAGGAAAGTTATTTAGTTCTCGTAGTTGTTTTATAGATTCCTCAGGATTTACTATGTAGACAGTCTTGTCTGTGAATACTGGAAGTTTTATTCTTTTGGATTGTTGTGTCTTTTATTATTTATTTTTATTGCTTTGTTGCATTGGTGAGACTTTCTAGGATAAAGTTGAACAGAAAGAGTGAGAATGGACTTCCTTGTATCAGGAAACATTTTTTCCTCTGTTTTTTCTTTCCTTTATTTTGAAAAAAGCTATGTAATGTCGATGTTATTTTTAAAAAATGTTTTATAGTTATGATCTGGCCAGGAGTTTTCCGATGTCAAATTCAATCTCTTTGAGAGAGGACTACTCAGATTTTCTATTTCTTCTTGTGTCAGTTTTGATAAGTTATCTTATGGAGTTTTATTCATTTCATCTAAGTTATTAAGTTTGTTGGCATAAAATTTTTCATAGTATTCCTTATTAATCTTTTAATGTCTAGGATATGTAGTGATATTCTCCTTCATACCTCATATTAGTAATTTGTGTCTGCTCTCTGTTTTCTTGATCAGTCTTTCTAAGAGCTTCTCAATTTTGTTAATCTTTGAAAAGAACAAACTTTTAGTTGATTTTCTTTATTGTTTGAGAAATTCGTTGATTTGTGCCCTTTCCCCCCTTTATTCTATTTACTTTGGCGTTAACTTGCTCTTCTTTTTATGGCTTCTTAAAATGGATATTTAGATAAGTAACTAAAAATTTTTTCTCTTTTCAAATATGAGCATCGATGCTATAATTTCTCATAATCAGCAAAAAAAGGAGGCACAATTATTTTAGTATTCAATGTTTGCAAACAAAAACTTTTTTTGACAGAGAAGAACAATTAATCAGGCTGATACTGGGACCTATTGACATCCTCAACTTCATGAAGAAGATGCTGTGCAATGTGATGAACAACATCCCAATAGTGAATTCAGCAATGGGTTTCACAGGATTCTCAATATGTCTCGATAGCATAATGCCAAAAGGACATTAAAGGAAAGTATTTTTTCTAGGGGTCCAATCAAATAGACAGCTTTCTGATGGTCTGATTTAATCCCAGGATATATTTTAGGATATTTTCAAATTGGATAGATTACTTCTCTTTCAAGAAATACTTCATAAACATTGTTTTCCACATCTGAGCTATTAATAATTATTAAAATTGGGCAACAATGACTTTGAAGTAATATTTCCCAATAGATATGTGGAGTGCTGCTATTCCGTGTTGTTGGTTAGATGAAGAGTAATATGACTTTAGACTCTGTCAAACCGAGGGAAAATTACATCCACGTTTGATAGCCAAACAAAGATCTATGTCTTAATGGTGATCCAGCCTTTCTTGTGAGGATGTAGGGGCAAGGGTTTCTTCTGAAGGAGGAATGTTGGTGCCACTCTAATACTCTAATAAATTGTGGTCAAGAGTCCACAGGTCATGCCCCAGAGCATGGACCCTATAATTGTTACCATGGAAACCAAGGAACTTGTGTCAATTGCATGGAACCTTAAAATGCTTAGCTTTGAGTAACATAATTTTCTGAAAACACTTTCATAGAATAAAATTGTAAAATGTAACCATATCAAATAGGATGACTTGACCTATAGGATTATTACCTATAATTGACCAAAAGTTCAAGAACCTCTCTTTTATTTAAATAAATGAGGAGTGCTTGATTCAGCAGCACTTACACTAAAATTGGAATGTTACAGAGAAGATTAACATAGCTCCTGCACAAAGATGACTTGCAAATTCATGAGGTGTTCTATATTTTTAAATATGTGCGGGGGCAGATTTAGTGCCCATCTGGGCACTAAATTTATTGGGGTGAACACTTTGTGAGTTAAATATATCTCTAATCATTACACTGTACACCTGAAACTAATATAATATTGTATGCCAATTATAATTGAAAAAAATATTCTTAAAAATAAATAAATAGGGAAATAATTTTTAAAGGCCCTTAGAAAAAGCTTAATTTTTAGAGATGTTGAAAACAAATAGAAAAGATCTTTGACGGTAAGCAGAAATTACTTGGAACTTAAAAATTTGAGTCTTGATTTTGTATATGAAATTTCAATTCTGTTTAAAGTCCATATGAAGGCATAAATGCCTTGCCTGGTGTTCAGGTTCTGCAGCTCTATTCTTCTAGTCATTGATTGGTTATTTGTTGAATGTGCTGCAGAAAAAGTTGAGTTCTTGAATGTTACACGTTTTCTTTATCAACTCTTTAAACAAACTTTTGAGATATAAGAAAGTTCTTTCTTCAGTGTCTCTTGCCACTCCGTTTGTCACTCTTCTGTCTCCTTCTCCCTGCCTCATGCTCTTTTCCTCCTTCCTCAACCCAAATGTGCTGTAGAAAAAGGATCATACATTAGTCATCTACTTTCCTTTGGCTTATTCGTTTATTCATTCATTTATTCATTTAGAGATTTTACTCTCTGTTTTCCATGTGCCAGAAACTTTTGGTAGGGATTGGCTAGTGAGAAGAATTGACAAGGCCCCTAACCTCATGAATTTAAATATTAGTTGGGAAGACAGAAATTATTTCAGTCAGTCCTTCATAAAACTATTGAGTAAATACTGTGGGCTAGATACTGTTCCAGGTGGTAAGGAATACAGTAGTGAACAAAACAGGAAAGGTCATGTTGTAGTAAAATCAATGAGGCCAAAGATAGGAAGATACGGAGTGATGGAGAAGGGGGACAGACAAATCTATACTACAGTGTCAGAGAGTGATAAGACCAACAAAGGGAAAAAAAGGCAGAGAAAAGGAGAAGAAACCGAGTAGTGGTCTTATTTTAGAGGATACTTACAGGTCCTTCTGCGGAAGTAACATGATCAAAGACCTTGAATAAACTGAGAGGCCCCATAGTGTGAATTTAAATCAGCGTTATTCACACTTTACTAACTAGGCAGATGAGATATTTTAGTGAACATGGGTGGGGCTAGTACCTGGTGTGAGGATACAGGCTGAATAAATATGGTACCACACTTTTGTTTGGTTACTAGGCCTCATTTGGAGAAAATGCCTACAGTATATTATTGCTTTTGTTAATGAAATAGACAAAGGTAATTTCAAAAAACAGTTGAAAGGAATAAATTTTGAAATTTTGGTTTATCCTTTAAATATTATTATTTAAATATATTTAAAATACTGTTCACTTCAGTTTTTCTTTATTGTAATTTTTGAGGAAAAGGAAAGCTACCCCTAGAGAGCTGATAAGTGTCATAGAGATCAGGAAAAGTACTATTATTTAAATGAGGTTCTAAAGATATACTTGCTTTTGGCTGTGGGTGCTGATAGCTGACTGATGGTGGTACCAACATCCCCATTCTACTAATGGACTTTTGGGTTTCATGTTCAGCCAGTTTAGTTTTATCAGCAATGAATTTATCTGGCTCCCCTGTGGGATTAGTGTTCTCTAAGACGGGCCCCTCAGACAAATGTACCACAGCAAGAAAATGGTCCAGGATACTTAGAAACTCCAATAATTTCTCATTTTAAGGATTTTTTCATTATTTTAAAGAATTTTTCCATCATTATTTCACCATTTGCCTTTCGATCATGTTTTTGTACTGAATTCCTATATTCTCCTTATCAACTAATTAAATGATATGGCAATATGTTTATAAATTTTTTCATGTCAGAAATTGAAGACCATTTGAGAACAGTAAATCCCTGGTGATGTTAAGGTGCCACGCATGCAGCAGACTCATTGCAAATATTCCCTGGTGGTATTTAAAGGTCTGATTTGTAGAGTTAGGACTATTCTAGTCAGTAATCAGGTTTTACATTTTATTTACTGAAAATAATTTAAATACTTAGACTAGGAGTCCCTGTTTAATTATCCAGATCATCAGAACATAAATAGGGGAGTCCTGTATTGATACAAAAAGGTGCAATTACAGAAAATACCAACGGGACCGTATAATAAAGCAGCTTCATCTAGATGGCAGATCTCCAAAGCAGGGCTGAACTTGGATGCCAGCTGTCTGAATGGGAATGCAATTTTATCGTGCTCTTTCATCTCCTTGTGCTGTAACTGTACATTATCAGTTTGTGACTGCACCTTATCTTTTCCTCCATTGAATTTTACATTATTTCTGTTACTTTACTTCCTATCTTTTCAGCACTTCTCTGGATATTTATCTGAACTATTTTAGAGGTTCATTTTAGAATTCAACATTTAACAGATTATGGATATCAAAGTAAAGCTCATTAAAAAAAAAAACCTTTGTATTTAGATAATTAATTTTTTTGGTCTCTATCATTAGAAGTCCTAACCCTAACTATCTAAATTGCCCAAATGAGCAAGAAAACTGCTCCTCAAAGGAGCTTACAGAAATCAAAAGTGAACACGACTTAAGCCTGGTATTTATTGTTTTGGATTATCTGAAAGAGAATCATAAAGTAGTCAATTGCAAAATTGAAATAACTTTAAAATATGTATATTTTATTTACAACTTTTAGAGAAAGAATATACGTATTAGAGAGAACAGAGAGTGGATGGTAATAAAATAAACAGTAAGATGGAATGATTTGAAAAATGCTGGAAAACTATCTAAAAGGGGAATTTTCTTCTTCCCATTTTAGTTGAGCTAACTTTGACTTATTAATTTTTCTTTTATGTATCACCTACTATTGATTTTTATCTACCAGTAGAGAATTTTGCAGGCAAGTTCTGCCACGTAAGAATGCCTCCACAAATAGAATAGCATTTGAATCTATTTCTTTTGTATCTAGATAAGCGGCACAGGCATAAAATTGATTTTATGTGCCGAAATCTACTTATTGCTATAATTACATAGCAGAAACTTTATTGATGGAAGTTATCTCATAGAATTTATTTTGAGGGAATTAAAAAAAGATTTTTAAAAATAAAAAATGAGTAATGAAGGAAATTATAGAGGGAAAAGAAAACATTTTTTAAAAATGCTCATTCATGTTTAGATGCTAAAACAGTTCTGGGAGACAGGGAGACAGCACGACTCTTTGACGTGACACATGATGTAGTTGCTGCTGCCACATCCCTTCCTTTTCCCTTGGTTTGTGAGAGCTGTTGCTGGCTTGCAGCTGAGAGCTGACAATATTCACACACCCTCTGCTTCTTTCTAAGAGGGTTACAAGTTGACATGTATTGACAGGTCCTTCTCCTTCCCAGAAGGAAATGACAGGAGCTTATGAAAGGTAATGGACTATGATTTAAACTTCATTTTAACTGGGGCAAAACCAAAGAATTTCTGGCTTATAATTATTATAGTCCTACAAACCCTATACTGGGAAGAAATCATCTTAAAATTTTAGTGTGTTATGGATATTATGGATATCAAAGTGAAGCTCATTAAAGTAAAGCTCATTACAGTATTTTTTCTATGAGTGTTTTTCCTTGTTTGAGCTCATGTTTTAAGGCTTCATGCCTCTTAAAATTAGCATTATAGGATGATTATTTTTCTAGGTTATTAAAAATCCTTTGTAAATATAACTTTTATTGGCTGAAATCATATAGCTCATATGGCTTTTTTCTTGGTAGTCAGTTAAGACATTTAAAAATGATTATTGCCATTATCAATACTGCTATAACTTTTCATATTGTTTTCCCTGTGTTTATCATAAGATTACTTCCTTATAATAGAGATAGCTGTAGAACTAAAATTAGTTAATGTGTGTAAAGAGAGTTAAGATTTTGACATCTTCAAATAAGTTTTCATCAAGACAGTAAGATGGCTGTTATTATTTATATTTTACAAATAAGGAAACTGAAGTTTGAAAAAGTTAAATTTTTTGTCCAGAATCACACAGCTGGTAAGTGCCAGGAACCAAAAGGGATGAAACCCATTCCTTTTTTACTGTAACAGTGTTTCGAGTATGTTCCTTGGAATATTAATAGATAGTGCAAGGAAAAAAAAAAAGTCTCATGATAAGCCATTTGAAAAATGTCAAGCTAAAATTAAGTAAGATCTTTTCAAATGTTTTCGGAGCCCCGGACACCACCATAAAGATGATCCGTGGCTGTAAAACCCTGGAGAACTATGTGCTCCAGCCCCCTCCTGCAACCCTCTGCTCTCTCACTGCATGCCACCTCACCTCCTTGTGTGCTGTGTGGATGCTCAAGTGCCCCAGGATTGCCAGCATGACTATCTCTTCTAACTCTTTACCCTAACACTGCTCCTCCTAATCTGAGCTTCCAGAGGCCGTGTAAGGAACCATTGTTAACCTATTTGCCTTGGCCAGATATCCCCAGTTGATTGTGTCTAGTCTCCCTCTCTGTTCAGTCTCTTTGGGTTACCATTTTTTCCCTGAGCCCTGTCTTGTACCTCTCTCAGAAGCCAATCTCTTAAATAGGACAAGTAGGACAGATATCTTGGTCCATACCTGAAGTTGGACACAGAATGGTAGGGCACTGCTTTATACTTCTCTATCTTGCATCCATTTTTTCAGAGGCTAATTTGAGCCAACGTGCTAAACCTTGCAGAAATGTTTGTAGTTTATTTTAGAATTCCTAGAGATGTCACAGCCTTAACCCAAAGGAAATAAGGATGAAATTCACACAATAAGAATATCTGCCTGGTGGCTCTTTTTCTAGTCACATGTATAGATGTGTGTCTTCTAAACAAACCCTAATCCTACCATACCTACCCAGGACATACCATTTCCCAAGCATCTAGGCAAATTGAAGATTTTTTTGTACATGGTTTCTAAATTTAAGAACCTCAGATTACCCAGAATGCTGAAAACCTGATGAAATCTTAGTTGATCAGGCTGCACTGTTTT